TTGTTGGGTCGAGATTGTCCGCTGAGATATCGCCAAAATATGTGAGGGTGGGGGATGAGGGTGGGGGAGGGGAGGCTGATTACATGGGAGGTGGAGGAGAAGTGTGTTTTAGATTTGTAGGCATGTAGGAGAATGGAGGAGAAAGATAAGATTTGTCACAACAAATTAAATGTCATTCATCTTACAGAGAAAACAGAGAAAATTCCTATCGATTCCAATAAAAGGGGAGATAATGAATAAACCCTAACACACTAATTTTTCTATTGTGTTTAATTTGATACCAGTCGGGTTATTACTATCAAATGTAATATTTTCTTACACTTTTTTTTTCAAATGTTTTAAAATCATTTTCATAATTTGGGATTTATTCTGAAATATAAGTGACACAATGTATGATTTAAAAAAAATAATTCTCCTTAACAAATTACATATTATGTTTCAAATTATAATGTTTTAAATAATTCCTTAACATAGTAATGGGACGGCGTGGCCTAGCGGGTTCGAGTTGGTAGAACGTCCCTGAGTCTACCCAGCTGTGATGGGTACCTAACTCACGTTATGGAAAGTAAAGACGGCTGGGCATAGCGCTGACCACACTATCTCTTCATATGCCGAGGTCAAGAAACAAATGAACTCTACTTCATCTGCCCAATGGATCGTTAGGTCTAAAGAGGAATCGTTACTTAACATAGTTAATTTGATTGCGTGGTCGAGTGCTAGCGCGGAAGATTTGTTACAAAAAGTACGAATGATCGAGTACACATTTCGTCCAAACGTCCTACACTATTCGTGCAGAGTTCCCTAAAAGCTTTAGTCGATAATGATTTGTAATTCTTTTATTTGCTAAAGTGTCCTTTACGTTTGCATTATTAAACACATAGTAAAATGTATCGATTTGTTTCTTGTCAATTATTAGTCATTATTTTTTTATCTAATACAGCAGTTTTGTTTAATTTTCCCGAAAAAATCCTTTCAGATGACAACGCAAAAAAGTACATGTTTTTAAATTAGTAAACATGAGTTAAAAGATGTGTGTAAGTAATTACAAAAAGGGGAACTTTGGATTAAGTTGAGGAGATCAGACAATCAGTTGAGTGATCGAGGTGAGCTGTTGTTCAATGTGGTCACACCCGAGAGCCGACCGTTCTTTTCAAACCTGAAGGTCCATGGGGCAAATGAAGTAGAGTTCACCTGTTTCTGTTAACACGGTATATAAGGGGTAGTGTGCTTTGCACTATACCCAGCCGCCTTTACATTCCCTAACGTGAGTTGGGTACTCATTAGAGCTGGGTGGACGCTCTGCTGACTTGAACCCGGATTTGAGCTCGAGACTTTTGGGTTAGCAGTCTAGCGCTCTACCTGTCGCTAACGATTATAAAGGGCACATAATTATAGTTAACGGTAAAGATCGCAAACTACTCATTGGGTTTTGAAAAAAATATTTTTGTCCACTCATGTGTTTACTTAAGAAGGGACGGCGCTAAAAAATGTTATCTAACTGATTATTGTTAAGACCTACGCATCGACTTTACTAATTTAATTTTTAAAATTTCTAATTATAAAAAAAATAGAAACTGAAGCAAGTACAAATTTTTTTTTATGTGTAACACATTTTTAAACACTAAAAATATTTATTCATTGAAAGAACTGAATTCTCATAAAACTCCTTTCACTTTTTATCAACCAACACTTGTTTATAGAGAAAGATATTGTTTTTAAATATTATTTTTAGTGCATTTCAAAACTTTAAAAAAAAATTCGTTTTGGTTTTTCCGTTGTAAAGTAATTATCTTTTATCTTTATACTCCTATGTATTTAAATTAATTCTACGACGGATTAAAAATATACTTTAAGTAAATACATAAACACTTTATTTTTAAATTTCAAGATGTGTATTACATTGTTTGTATGTGTTCTGTCTCCTTAACAGAAATACGTTCCATCTGGTTGGACAACGTTCCTTATTTTTGTTTAAGTCTCTCACACCAGTTTTACAGCTAAAAGAAACCATTGTAAAAACTAAAAGACTTTATTTATGGGTAGCTACACACATTATTCTACTATCGCTGATTCTATAATTAGAAACGGGAAAACCGAGTAGACGAGAATAGGAACGGTGATAGCGTAGAACAATGGGGGAGGGCGGGTAAAGAATGGGTGCTGTCTGGTGCTTGACAGTGCGGTGCAAATCTTTCCTCGCTGTGGGGTTTGGATGCTAGTTTGTTACAAGACTCGGGTTGCGGTGTTTTGGGTTGGTGTGTGCTAGGGTTGTTGAGGGAGTATTGTGTGCATGTTGTGTGACGTGTTTGTGTGTAAGAGGATCCTAGTGTTGTGAGTAGTTGTTGTGTGAGAGATATGTAAACGTCTTTGATGAGGTGAGTAGAATTTACGTATGGTTTGAGTGAGTGGAGATTTAGTTAATCTGACTAGGTATTGAGTGACGCTTTGAGGAAGGGCATGTTTTCAGTAAGCTTTTTGTGTTGGCTGTAGCAGTGTTTTGTTGGTGTATGTGTGTATGATGATGTGGATGAATGTAGATGTGTGTGTGTGTGTGTGTGTTGTGTAGGTATTGGGGTGTTAGAGTTAGTTTTGCGTGGATGATATGGAACTATTTCCTGAATAATTTAAATGTGTTTTTTTTCTAAATTACTTATTTAAATTTTACTATTATTTTTGTTACATGAATTTGACATTAAAAACTTTTAAAACTTCACAAAATATAAGCACTCACTAAAAATAACAGTACTTTTAAAAATAATGCCACAAGCATAAAAATATATTTTAAAATAAGTACGCAGTTTAACAAAATTAGATAATTATTTTTTAAAAAATGAAACATAAAACTTGTCTTCGCTAATTAACCTACATTTCACCTAACCATAATTGATTATAAAATACCAAAGCGGTAATGGAGCATAAAAAAGGGGAAGTAATGACTTAAACATCGCTTTCAATAATCAAATATTTCCACCCCGTTCTAAATCATTTTGGCCAAAGCCAACTTTTCGATAAAAAAGGAGACCAAAAATAGTAAACACAATCAGTGGAGTCTGGCCGCACAAAGACACGCTTGCCAAACTGGCAACAAGATAAAGGAAATTAAAATCGACAAATATAGTTTGGCACGTTTCAGGTAAATTGTCCTGGCACCCTCTCCGTCTTTACGTTAACTACTTTACGATAAAAAAAATATTTAAAAAAATAAACGAAAATTCTATGACGCGTTTACAGAACAGACAGTACTAAACGAGAAATAGTTGAGATTACATAAGAGGGAGGAGTTTCTACTAAAGTACTCTTATATTGTTGTTGGCAGTGGGTTCCTAAAAATAGTCGTAGTTTGTTTCCTCTGTCATTAAAGCTATAAGCCTCGGGTAAACAAGTAGTCAAAGTTATTATTTCACAGGGTTTCTTTCGGGTATTCTTCTCCAGGTTCAGGAAATGGGGTAGGCGGGGGTATTTAAGATTTCTAGGGAGGGAGCGGGTTAATTATATTTTTAAAATAATTGAATTAAATAGTTTAATTACTTTTTCCAGTTAAAAGGCGGTGGACGCAGTACCCTCACCCCCTCCTATAGAAATACCAGAAAGAAACCCTGGTGTTGTATAAATGTGAAAACAATTCACTAGGTTGGTTGGATGACAGCTGCGCTGGATGCCATTCAGATGTCACCGTTGAAGGAATAGGATTGTACTTTAGTATTCTACCGTCCCAGACGGTATTGTGTTGTCTGGCATTTTGATGCCAAAGGTCTCAGGGTCGATAACTCCCCCCCCCCATCCTTCTCTCCACCTAACGAATCCACAGCTTGCTAATTTACAGTCGACCAAGGCCCATATATTTGTATGCTGGAAAAACATTCACATTTGGTTTGGTACTACATGGGATGGACGTTCGTGATTTGTTTGAGGAATACGTCAAGATTAGATTGAAACATAAGCAGATTGCGTGACACGTATGTTGTGTGCTGTATGGTATTTGTAACACCAAGCATTGTACTTGGATCAGCGAGCATGGGCGATGAAACACATAACACAAAGTACTGATCAGGATGGGGGTGGTGTGTGTAACAGACTGAATTATTATGTATAATAATTATATTGTAATTGACATGAAGTTGCGTGAATGTAGAGTACCTGGCCAACGGAAGTAAGTGTGAGCGACTCGTCATGTATTTACATGCTTTTTTTGTGAGATCGTTCACTGACGTAAGAAGAGAGAAAGTTGTGTATAAAAGGTGGAACGCAAGATGAACGAGTGTGCTTGTCTGTGAATGTGTAGTAGGATGTCACCATGTTACTTTGCTTCTTGATTGTACTAAACCAGTTGTTTTTCTTTTACTATAGATTATTAGCATTTCATTGTGGATATTGTAAATAAAGTTTAAAGTTGCAAACTACTGTTGGGTTAGTGTATCAAACGAACCCACAACAACAGCAATGGATATTACTGTTGTTACAGCGTGGAATAGCAGTAGAGCGCAAGACCGCTAACCTGCAAGTCTCGAGCTCGAATCCAGGTTGGTTAAAGGAACGTCCTAGATTCCACTCAGCTCTGATGGGTACCTTACTGACGTTAGGGAAAGTAAAAGCGACTGGGCATAGTGCTAACCATACTATCCCTTCATATGCTGAGGTCATAGAAACAGATGGACTCTACTTCACTTGTTTGTCCCATGGACAGTCAGGTTTGAAAAGGGAACTATACTGATAAGAAGGGAACCAAAGGAAGGTGGGAAGAATGGATTAGAGAATTCAAAAATTTAAAGATAGAGAAGGAACATGGTACCTGGAACATGGGATGGACAACAGGGAACATGGAACATGAAACACTGAACAGTGTAAACATTTCGTTTTGAAGAACAGAAAAAAACCAATACCGAGCAGATGGTCGTGGGTATAGCTAGACATATTAGTAATGAAGGCTTAGGGTATATAACACACAACTTGTAAAATGTGTTAAAAGTAGAAAACAAACACATCAACAAACGTGTACTCACCCGCGCTCCATCTGTACTGCTGAGCGAGACATGACGGGAGCCACGTGACCAGCATGAAACAGCATACGTACAATCCATGTCTCCTGATTCTTCCATATTCCATCGTCTTCTGGCACTAGGATTAGGCATCGATCAGCATGTATGCCAGAGACTCGGTCGATAATCCAACGATAATCCGACGATAATCTAACGATAATCCTCCTATACGATGAACACAATTTCGAACACAGAACTACGAAAACGCGAGTTAAAAATCTAGAAATTCACTTCAGTATACACTTGCGGCTTAAAAAGAAGAATTTAACTAAATCACCTCAACACAACTCCTTGAAATGAAATAATCATTTAAATCAATACAACTAAAAAATTAACTGAACATGTATATGTATATATAATACATACATCTACGAGCTTTTAAGTCATCCTGAATGATGTAAAATTGTATGAGAATACGTCTAAAACGTAATCAATTTTAAGTAAAAGTTTCATCAAAATGGTGAAACAACTAATCTCACTTTTTCATTTCGTTTACATGCCTAACTAGTTTATTGATGAGCACAGTGGATTGTTTTATAAGTCCTGGAAATATAAATTAGGTATGTCTAGTTGAAAAAAAACACCAACCCACACAATATTAAAAGAAAAAAATAAATAATACAATTTTAATGGTTTGTAATGGACTCTTAGTTACTGCAAGGGGTTACAACCCGTATTATCTGTATTTGTAGTTGGGCATTAGAGACTAGACTAGACTCGAAAACAGATCGCAACTTTTACATTGTGTTTTCCATACAAATTAATTTATTTTTCTAATGCGCTTCTGATTTCTTATGATGAGAATCGTAGTGCTTGTATCAGAATATTATTTTTTTAAAACTGTAAACCCAATAAGTAAATTTTGAAGGCAATTTGGCTTCTTGAAATAATCTCCAAAAAAGTTGTTTTTTCTCACCTTGTGAGAAACCTGGACACAACTTACCCTGAATAAAAGTTATAAATAAAACAATTCATAATCCTCCAATCAAAACGGCGTTGGGAAATGACGCCGTTGCCATAGAAACAAAAGACCTTGCCATTTATCTTTGCTTGTTTCCTGTCTAACAAATTGTCAGTGGGTGTTTAATAAAAAAAAAAAAACAAAAAAAAACAATAACACTGGAAAGCAGAAACATGCGCACTGAATGAAAAAATCTCAGGATTCGTATGACGAGTGAACCGTATATACGGCGATTGGAGATTTTTCTTTCCCATCCGTCATTGTGTAATCGCCGGGCTTCCTCTACGTTCTTCTTCCTTCCCAATCAATAGATCTGAAACAATTAACCGAAAAAATTATAAGTTAGGCACGCTTTTGTGTTTACAGAAAATATGAATATAATTTTACAAGAAAGATTGAAAATTAAAAATGTATTCTATTTCTTAATTGCCCTTATATAAACACAGCTTCGCGACTTCAATCGTTTTGATGCTTTATGTTTAACACACACACACACACACACACACACACACACACACACACACACACACACACACACACACACACACACACACACACACACGCACGCACGCACGCACGCACGCACGCACGCACGCACGCACGCACGCACGCACGCACGCACGCACGCACGCACGCACGCACGCACGCACGCACGCACGCACGCACGCACGCACGCACGCACGCACGCACGCACGCACGCACGCACGCACGCACGCACGCACGCACGCACGCACGCACGCACGCACGCACGCACGCACGCACGCACGCACGCACGCACGCACGCACGCACGCACGCACGCACGCACGCACGCACGCACGCACGCACGCACGCACGCACGCACGCACGCACGCACGCACGCACGCACGCACGCACGCACGCACGCACGCACGCACGCACGCACGCACGCACGCACGCACGCACGCACGCACGCACGCACGCACGCACGCACGCACGCACGCACGCACGCACGCACGCACGCACGCACGCACGCACGCACGCACGCACGCACGCACGCACGCACGCACGCACGCACGCACGCACGCACGCACGCACGCACGCACGCACGCACGCACGCACGCACGCACGCACGCACGCACGCACGCACGCACGCACGCACGCACGCACGCACGCACGCACGCACGCACGCACGCACGCACGCACGCACGCACGCACGCACGCACGCACGCACGCACGCACGCACGCACGCACGCACGCACGCACGCACGCACGCACGCACGCACGCACGCACGCACGCACGCACGCACGCACGCACGCACGCACGCACGCACGCACGCACGCACGCACGCACGCACGCACGCACGCACGCACGCACGCACGCACGCACGCACGCACGCACGCACGCACGCACGCACGCACGCACGCACGCACGCACGCACGCACGCACGCACGCACGCACGCACGCACGCACGCACGCACGCACGCACGCACGCACGCACGCACGCACGCACGCACGCACGCACGCACACACACACACACACACACACACACACACACACACACACACACACACACACACACACACACACACACACACACACACACACACACACACACACACACACACACACACACACACACATATATATATATATACATTTATATTCGTTTTCCTATCCTAACCCCAACCTTAACAATAGCCGTATCCATAAAAAAAACAGTCATTAGTTTTATCTTCCGTATAAATACTACACTGTTTTTGGACAATGACCCTTAATTAATAATATGGATACGTTTCAGAGTGCAAAACATTAATCTAACGTAAACTTTCTAATTTAGCGATATCAGATGAATCATACGGTTAGTGTAAATAGGCACTCCAAGTCACGGATTCGAATCGTATCATAACAATCTGTCGATAGTAAATACGCCGTAAATCTGGATATATTGTTGATTTATTTAGAGATATGTCGTAAAATGTATGGCTCGCATCAGCTGTTTGGGTACGATTTTTACGACAATGGGCTGCGATGGTAATTTATTATGCTGTAACAAATAAAACTTGAAGGTACTGTTCTGAAAGACAGCTATAATATTCAGAGATGAGCTGGGCCGCAGGGATACAGGAATAAATTCCGGTGGGCCTTACAGGCATTGGGCCCAGTGGCGTCTCTAAGTATATGGGGGTGGGGGGGGGCATGTGCGCGTGTGTGTGTTTTGTTGAGATGGCTAATTTGTACTCATTAGAGATTTATACGCTATTTATTCATTAACTGAACATGCAAAAAGCATTTTTATTCAATATATTTTGCAATTTTTCGTCTTGGTGTCACCCCCTCCCCCTAAAATAGTGTCACCCGGTGCGGTCCGCATCCTCCGCCCCAACCCTCGCGACGCCTCTGATTGGGTCTTTGGGCCACCAAAAAAGGTGTTGTAGTAGGTCCAGTGATGCCCTGATTGTTCATATTCAGTATGTTGATAAACTAGCCCTCGTCCCGTGTGTGTGTGTACCAGAGATTCATCCAGGTATCTCTTCGAACCCCCCCCCCCCCCCCCCCCATTTCGCCCCCCTCCCCCTTCCCCTGAACGAAATGTAATTTATATAGAAAATATATACTTTAACAGTGTCCGCTCCCCCCCCCCCCTCCCGGAAATTTTAGTCCGCCCCCTTTTAATCAACCCCCCCCCCCCGAGAAAATTTCAGATGCTACCACGGAGAAAAAAAGTCTGGAAGAAGCACTGGTGTGTACTCTTCCATGTATATTATTTCCCTTGATGTCCAATGCCGTAAAATTCATACATAAAAAAACTGCACAGTAACCATTAAACTCAGACGGTATTTTTCCTTTATTCCCCGGGTCGTTCGGACACAGCCATTCTACCCCGTGTAATATTGTTGGTAGTTCTGACTAAACTAGATAAAATACAGACATATTTCGATCGATAAACCAACAAAAAAAAAAAGAAAAAAAAAAAAAAAGAAAATCGCCATTTCTTTTAGCCGAAACTACCGTATTGAGGACTGACCGGGCTACTGAATGATGCTTTGATTCCCATTAAAGCAATTCGCCCTCACCGTCTTGCTCCGCCAATCAAAATGGTCCAGGAAATGACGTCACCTCATCGGAAAAGGTTAAAGTTGATTCACGCTATTTTTAGCCTATTTTTTTCCCACCTTTCACTCAATGTATAAAAAGGTTCTGGAATATTCGATTTGATTGTGATTTTCTGCTCCCAAACTCTCCTCTCCCAGAAGGTTTTTTTTTCAGTAGCGATACTTACGTCATACGACTGTCGTCATGGTAACTAAATATATCAAGACAAAAAGTTGAATTTATTGGAATTAACAAAGTGATACGACTTTAGACTCATTAATTAACAACGGATTGATTGGTCTAGCGGTATGATTACACTAATTGAAAATGGCAAACATTTAATAATTTTTTACTAAATTAAAACCCTAGGATGAAAGCGATATTCAATTTGTTTCATGGGTGAATAGTGTATAGTATACACTGTATACGAACTTCGTTATAACTAACAAATGCTGAAGTTCTTTGTGTGTAGGGTGGAGAGGACGCAGTGATATCATGGTTCTTCTACGATATCCAAAGGAATTAGTTATAGAACATGTGAAAGTGATATGCTATTGTTATGTTATACGATCTTTTTATAGTTTACTTGTTAATATAGAACGGTAATCGCTACAAAATCTCTTGGATTGTGTGCGTTTGTAGGGGGAAGGGGGTGGGGGTAGGGGGAAGGGTTGCGTAGACGAAAACAAAATTGAAAAACTGATTACCGTGTCATATAATTATACCAAATATTTTAAGTCATAGAAAGCTTTGAAATACTTAATTTGTGTTCGGAAAAAAAGGCATTTAGACATAGATCCAATAAAAGGTTTTGTTCTACTTCTTGCTTAAAGCATAACCAAAAAAAAAAGGAACTCCAAAAAGTCCAACCATCCCCCACCCTAACCCAAAGTTCACGCGACCAAACCATACGCAAATCAAAGACAACTTACTGAAGTAGGCCGTAAAAATATAAAGAAAAAACATGACGTGCAACTCTGCCATTTATTTAAAAGTACGATAGAAGAAAAAAAACAAACTAAAAATCTCTGCCATCGCGAGTTGTCGGTCTTGAAACAAATTCCCAAGCGGGTTGCCGTTCTTTTTGTGTCGGTCAAGAGCAGACAACTGGACAGGGGCGTTAATTATTGATGCAACTGGTGGCGGGCTCGCCCCCACACATCGGGCGCGTTGTTGGTAGCGGGAGTCACGTGATGACGCCGTCATGAAGGGAGCTAATAACATGACAAATGATCACAAATCTTACCCCGGCGTGAAAGGGGGGGGGGGGTGATAACGTCACAGACGATCATATGAGGGATTATCATGTCGTGAAAGGGAGGGGAGGGGGGCTGATAATGTGACAAAGTGTCACGTGGGGGGGGGGGGGTAATCCCGGCGTGGTAAGGGTGATACCGTCTAATCACGTCTAATAAGACTTGGCAGCTAGAGATGGCCGTTTTTTTTTAAAAAATCCATTGCTATGCTTGTAGGGTTCATGTAATAGGGTTAGATGGTAAACGTGATGGTTAGGGTAATATGGTTAATGTGACGGTTAGCGTTATATGGTTAATATAGCATTTACGCTAATAGCAGAGGGTTATTGAAACGGTTAGGGTTATAAGTAAAGATTCCTCGTTAGAACTAGCGATCCATCGAGCAGAGGAAGTAGAGTTCATATGTTTCTTGACCACGGCAAATGAAGGGATAATGTGCTCAGCATATTGCCGAGTCGCCTTTACTTTCCCTAACGTGTGTTATGTACCCATCAGAGTCGTTTTGACTCAGGAAAGTTCCACTGACTTGAACCCGGATTTGAACTGGAGACTGGGTTAGCAGTCAAGCGCTCTACTGCTAAGCCAAGCCGTCATATGATATAATGGATAGGACTATAGAAAAATGGTAGTAAAACGGTTACTTTATAGATTAATATAACGATTATGGTTAGAAAATACGGTTAATGTAAAGATGAGTATCATAATAAGGGAGCTAATGTAAAAGGAAGGGTAATATTGTAGGGTCAAAGTTGATGTTACGATTATAGGACTGTGTTACGAGAATAGTAGATGATTAATCTAAAAGTTTTACTGTAAAAGGATTATCGTATAGGGTTAATGTAATTGTTGGGATTCAAAATGTAATGATTATGTGAGGGTTAGGTTTACTTAAAGGGTAACATTTGGGCTAT